ATACAATAATAAAGCACCAAAAAACTACAAAAAAAAAAAATCGGCAAAATCCAATCAAAAAAGCTTTAAAAGGTGGATTCACGGGTTCGTGCATTATATAATGGTCTTTTTTCAAATAACGGCGTTTTTTTTAAAACTGCCCGTTATTTTTGAAAAGAAACGGCCATATTAAATCGTTTTGGTTAGCAGAAACTGGCCAGTTTTTAATAAAACTCACTGGTTGGAGGCCTAAACGGCCGGTTTTGGATCCAAAATTTTTATGAGGTATTCGTTAGACTATTGATACTACAAAACCGAGCTTAACCGGACTCGGAACCCTAGTGATTCTGAGCTAATCGGCTGGTTTCGGTTCAAACCGGCCGGTTTGCGAACAATCCATCAATGAACTCTATTTTATACGAATGGCTGTAGAGGGGAATCCTAGTAGGAACGGGAACAAAAAAAACTCTCATTTCTACCTAAACATTTTCCTATTTTAATTGTTTTTAGATAGACCACCTATTACATCCAACTTTAAGAATGGAAGCTTTATACCTGGTGGACACCGCATGAAACAATTTTCTCAGGGAGAATTGATGGCAGATCTCTCAACATGTTTCCTAAAATTATATCGCTCTAAAGATTTGAGAAAGACCTACACAAAATTTCTTTCTCCCCGCCTATCCACGACTCTCTCTATCTTGATTCATCTCTCTTTAACTCTTCCCAATAAATATGGAAGTATAATTATTACAAAATATCCATTTCAACTCCTCATCTCTATCTATCCATGACTCTCTCAATCTTCATTCATGCATCTTTAACTCTCTAATAAAGGAAATTATTATAAACTATCCATTTCCTCTCTTTATCTCGTTTACTCTCAAAGAAACTTATTACAAAATATCCATTCCCTCTCTCTCCCCTATAAATATGGAAAGAAAAATATTACAAAATATCCATTTCCTCTCTCCTCCTCAATATGGGGAGAGCAATCGTAAAATTTCTTCCTCATCTCATTAACCTATAATTCAAAATTTCACCGTTCTTCCACTCTTCTCCTTAAACATCCTCTTAATTCTCCCTGTCTCTCTCTCTCTCTCTCAAGATTAGAGGATTTTGGAATCCATAGCATCTTTTTGAATTATAGGTTATATATCTCTTCACCGTTCTTAATTTTAGAAGACATCTTCTTATTTTTGTCTTTCTCAATATTTGAGAGTTTCTGAAAAGGAAATTCCCTCTCCCTCTTCACATAACTCTCAGTACATACCCCTCTCTCCCCTCATATCTCTGTAAATCTCTTCCTCCTCCAAGCAGCCTAACCAAATAGAAAAGGTTCGGAAAAAAAGAGATTATATACCCCTCTCTCCCCTCATATCTCTGTAAATTTCTTCCTCCTCCAAGTAGCCTAACCAAGTAGCTTAACCAAATAGAAAAGGTTCGGAAAAAAGAGATGAAAATCATTGGAAAAACCATTGAAAGAAATACCTTGTATGATATATACAAGAAGAGAATCAGTTATATGACGTTTGGGAGATGTTTGGGAGAGTGATTCTACCATGGCAACACGCAAAACGTTATAGAGAGAATTCTATTCCCAGAATGTTGTGTTTGTACCAGAGGAAGTTAGAATGTTGTGTTTGTGCCAGAGGACCTTGTAGAAAAGGTTCGGAAAAAAGAGATGAAAATCGTTGGGAAAACCATTGAAAGAAATACCTTGCATGATATATACAAGAAGAGAATCAGTTATATGACGTACGTTTGAGAGAGTGATTCTACTATGGCAACAAGCAAATCGTTATAGAGAGAATTCTATTCCCACTCCCTGTAAAATTGATCAAGAATGCTGTGTTTGTGTGAGAGGAAATTAGAATGCTGCTGTGTTTGTGCCAGAGGAAGTTATAGAGAGAATTCTATTGGGACTCCCTGTAAAATCGATCATGAACTTCAGGTGCTTTATCTAAAGCATGGAAAGAAGTTCTCTCATCTCCCTACTTCATTCGAAATCAATCCCATATGCCTCCCTCACCATCTGAACTAATCATAGTGTGCACGAGAAAAAGGATTTTCTTGTTCAACATCTTAGCCAGCTAGATAAACGGTATGATAAAGTATATTCGTGTTCAACATCTTAGCCAGCGAGATAAACGGTATGATAAAGCATCTTCGTCAAAGGGAAGTACTTAGATTATTTAGTCGAGTATAGCATCTTCGTTAAAAGGAAGTACTTAGATTATTTAGTCCAGTATGCAGCAATAGCCTGGTTTGCGATAGAACCGTTGGAGATCCTTTGAACTAATATGTCTGTAACCCTGTAACTAAAGATTATAATGATCTCCCCCAACTCCCATCCTCTCTCCGCTTTCACTATCGCTCTCTTAGAATATGTAATATCGGATTTTATTTTGATCATGATACCCAAACGTTCAACATATTTTTATTGTTGGATGGTCGCGAAAACATGCTTGAACGCTACACGCCTGATGAGCACGAACCCTACACGCCTGACGAGTATTGGATGTTTAACTCCTCAATTGGAAGTTGGAAATTACTGACAAACTTTAAAAAGAATGGGAAGGTGATACATATGATAATTGTCCACAAAGATGCATATTATGGTATCCGCAAGGAGGGGAATCTAGAAGACTAGAAACTTTTCATATGGAGAGTGAAGAATGGGAAACCCTGAAATTGCCTTGTGAATCACTTTCTTGAATCAGCATCGTGTAAGCTCAAGATATGGGAATTGAGCCCAGAGAAGAATTGGAAAGAGGTGATCACAATACGCATGAGCGAAGAAGACGCGGATTCTTACCTGAATGTTGTTTTGTTTCAGCATTACCTCGCCTATGCTAAATTCAAAGAAAGATTAATTACCTCCCTCTCTTTGTACGATTTGAGAAGCAGGAACCAAGTAGGGTTGAAATATCGATTTCTTGGGGATTGTCTTGCTGTTTCTCCCTTCACGCCGACATTTTATGTTCTTAGGTTTGCTAGCTAGGCCGTAAGAATTTTATTTTATTTTATTTTATTTTATTTTCCAGCTTGAGGTAGTATTTTTATTTTTATTTTTGTTGTCAAGTTTAATGTTATAATGAATAATGAATGTAGAGAAATTTCAATTTGATTTTTTTTGCTGTATTTATTTGAGTTTGGTGACTCATTATAACATCATCGAATAGACATAGTTGTTTTATTTTATTTTTGAGCATGAGGTAGTATTTTTATTTTTATTTTGTCGCCAACCAGGTGAAAGTTTAACGATATAATGAATAGTGAATGTAGGGATATTTCTATTGGATTTTTTTTTTACTGTATTTATTTGTGTTTGGTGACTTATTATAACATCTTCCAATAGACATAGTTGTACTCTCTGTCCTTTAAAGTGAGAGCATCGACAGCAGAACTCGGCAGTACTGCAATAACTTCTAATCAAATTGTAACTTTGTGGTGAAAATCTCTATATTGGATACCAAGCAGCTGGCATTTTATCTTTTATAGGCAACCCAGATGCATTTTCCACATGCATATACATATGAACAAACTTCAGGGTTCATGAGTAGTTACTGTCCACAAAGGAAGTTACTAAAAAAAAGTCTACAGTACTTGGTAGAGTAAAATGAATCGGTAAAAATTAGACTTGTTAAGTTTGTGGTGGGAGAATGCTTACATTTGAGCAACTGGATGGTACTGCTCATACAACAACTTCACAAGTTCTGAACAATGTGCCACTCTCTCAACCAAACGGTATCTCCCACTTGCTGATGGAACCTCATATACAAGAACATGGGCCTCTGCAACATCTTTGACATTTACCCATCCAAAAGTTCCTTAATATATGTAGGATTCCCTGCATCAGAAGAAAGAAAAAGAAAACGAAAACGAAAACTTCTAATAATCACAGACTAGAAGTCAGAGGTGTCCAAATTGTACGTTCTGCAAGAGATGCATGACAACTTAGTCACTTGTGACTACAGTACATTGCTTTAAACACAACATTCATTTCCAATCTACTCC